TGTTTGTCATTTTTTTAAGGGTAAAATTCTTATTGGGTATACAGTGATTATGGGTTTTTCTAGGCATAATTCCTACTTTGGTTATCCATAAACTGTCTCAGATTTTATGGGTAGTGTACAATGTTATAGTTTAGCAACTGAACATTGACTGATGGGGATTTGCAAAGGAGTTATTCACACACTCAGAATATAAGGTCCTTTCGTCAGTAAAAGCCTTGAGACATGACTACAGTAATGATCTTTATATTTCTCCACTAGTAGAAAACATGATCAATTTTAAGTAAAAGGAGGATGGTTGAAGAAATCATTTAACATTAGTGTACCTGGAAAAGCTATTCCTTTTATCTTCCTTTGAATTCATTAATTATAGATCTGACACATGATTTATAGATACCAGCAGAGATGAGGGTGGAAATTACTCATGTTGGGAACTCCTACCATCTCCTGTTCAGTAGCTTGGATACTATTAAATGCTCCTTATTAGGAAGAGAGGTGATTCAGGATCAAGCATCAAGTTCCTGGAAATTCCAGAGTGGGGTATAACCTCTCTAAAAAACCATATTTTAGTTATTTTTAAAAGAAGAAATTGTTTGTATTAGATAAAAGCTTTTTTTTTTTTGGCCCATTACTAAATAGTGTAGGTTATGAAATTCTACATTTCTCTAAGAGAATATTCCTAATTTCCTAAGCACACAAGAATCAAATTACTTAAATTATGTCTAGTTCATATTCTGCCTGCATGCATTTGCAATTAGCTATGTCAGGCATTTTTCTTTCATTTAATTTCATCATCATCAAGAGTATTTATTAAGCACAAACCTGGCTAATTAATTTTCTGGAGAATAGCAGGTATTCTTAAATTCATTCTCCCTATTTAAAAGCTCTTTAAATAATCTATCTAATATATGGTATATTTTCCTTAGCAAAATTACCTTTAAATTTCAGTTTTTACTTTATTATTTTAAGGTTTCAACAGGACACATTCCACTCCCAAAGTCAATATGTACACATAAAAAATGTCATTCAGAACTAGTATACTGGATTCCTTGGGATTTTTTTTTTTTTTTGCAGTGTGTTAATATTCTACCTCAATTTTTAAAAATATCACTATTCTATTTATTTTGCTATATATTGTTTCTAGTGACTCATTTTTAAAGGTAGAAAAAAGTTTAAGTATAATCAACAGATGTAAAGAGACATTTTCTATTAAAAATTCAGTTATTATAGTACATCAAACACAAAGCAAAAAGTCACAGATCTTAGAAGTCAAAATGTTTAGCAAACAAGGATGAAAATATCTAAGATCTTCAAACTGATAATCAAAACTTTCTGTGTGCTTCCCTGGAGAAAAGGAAAGCTAACTTTTATGTGAATTTTAGGAAAACTGAGTTAAGTTTTCTCAAGGTATTTTTTTTTTCTAACTGCAACAAAGATAATATTTCTTTTGATTTAACAGTTATAACACATTTGCTTGAAATTCTAATGACAAAAATGAAATTTTAGGAAAGCATCTTCATGGACATCATGATTTCCTTCCTTCATAATTCTTAAGTCATGAGATGTCAAGTATATTTTGGTTCTGGAAGCAATTACACGGTCCTTCAGGGGGCAGTTGTACAAGAAGAATGACAGAAACTAAAACAAAACTACAAACTGGTAATGCTTGCTACTGCTTAAGCATATTGGCATTAACCCTGTAAATCATATGTGGCTATTATAGTCGATGGCTACTTTGACTAGGCTGAAAGGCATAGCTGAAAGCAATGCTTCAGGGGGTCAACAAGAATGCATGGCAGATATGCCCAACACCCACCAGCACAGAAGAGTTTCTGAGCTTTACTTCTTGATATAGTCTGGAATTTGAATAGTAAGGTGAGATTCAGTATATGGATAATTCTGAATCTAGAAGAAGTATGGCTATGCTTCCCTTTAGAGTGAGGAATTCATTTCCAAGAGGGACTCTTAGAATAGCTTGATGTTCTTATTATCAAATGGAGATTGATAATACTATTAGAAGTAACTCAAATAAGAGATGAAATGATAGAAAGCAGCAGCCAGAGAGGTAAGGAGGGGTGGAGGCAGGGGTGATGGGGAAAAGGCTCTCAATTAGAGTCACGTCCATTCAGGGGTTTACATCTGGCAAGAAGTAGTCTATCTTTGTTTACACCAACAGAAGCTCCCAGGAGAATGCAGGACACAGGATCCACAGGAAGAATTCAGTTATACTTTTCAAAGTAGTGTATTTTCAAAAATCTACTTTCCCTTCAGGGAAAAACACCTTGAGAACCAATTAGTGTTAGGAAGGACCAGGAAAAAAAAGACCCTCACTGTGGCAGAAAGATTATTTTGTTGATTTGAGGTAAAAACCGAGAGCCAGGTGCTAAAGTGGATGTTCTCCATGCATCTCTCTCCCTTTGCCTCAGGGACACTGTAGGCTGCGACACTTGTATCATCTGTACAGGGACAAAGTCTCAAAACAATTTTTGTAAGACATAATCCTGACTCATAGAACAGGTGGCAATTTTCTGAGGAGCAACACTGAATTCTATTTCTGATTAATCAGATTTCTTGTGAGCAAAGCTTAGGTCTCTACCCTTTACACAGCAAAGAGTAAATAAGACAAATGGATACTAAACATTGTCAATAAGGCTAAGTTCGTGATTGATGCCTCTTACTGTTTAAGATAAGCTATAAATATGCTGCCCAGTGGTTTTTAATGGTGTGATTGTCTGACTCAGCAGACCAGTGTCAGGAAGGAAATTTACATAAATGGAAAGTGAAATCTTTCTGCAACAAACAGGACTGTTAGAAACTGCTTAGGTAAGGAGCTGCTCACTTACGCAAACATGGATATACATATTAAACCTGCTCTCCAATATCTGCTCGAGCTTAAGTTATTGCCCATAAAAAAGCTAAGATGTTTGCTTTTAATTTCCAAAAATACATTTCAGTTTCAATTTTACTTGGAATAAATTCTGCAAATAGAGCTGTCATTAGGAATAAGAAAAATAGTATCAAGCTGGCATCCATAAACATGACCAACACGCATCCCCAAACAGCACATGTGTGGGTGATTTGGCTAAGGATAACAAGCAAGATACAAGATAACTGCAAAGCCTTGGCCTCTGCTGCCTGGGAGTTGGGAGGATGAGATGAAAGAGCATTCATAACAGGGCAGGGTAGACAGGTTCTGGAGTCAGGCTGCCTGGGTTCAAATCTTAGTTGAAGCAATTCCTGAACACAGGACAGTCACTATCCACTGTCATCTGCAATTTCTCCTCGATGAAATGACATAGTAATCCAGTGTGAATGAGAATAAAATCAAAGAATCCACCTTAAATACTTCTGATGTCCAGCACATAAAAGCACTGAGCACAGAATGTTAACTATTGTTGTTGATACTATTATTTCCCTCTGCTCCTGGGTTTGCAATTTTGAGCCAGAATGGAGAGTTTGATATACTGGATGATTGGCCTCAATTCTTTACCTTTCCTGTACCTGAGCCTTTGCCACAGCTTCATTGTGGGTGACACTGTGCTCATTTGGAGCCCAGAACCTAAGAGGCTTTAGCCATTGCTGTGGGCCCTAGGACATGTCACTGCATGAGCAAAACATATTGCAGGTAGCCTGCTGGTCCAAGGCACAGGTGAAATATGGAGCACACTCAGGCCTGCTGCCCTATGGTGGGAGACAGACACACCAGCCTGAATCACAGCTCCTCCAGGTGTCCTGCAGAGTCAGGAGGGAAATAAATGCCTACTGATGCATGTTACTGAAATTTTGTCATTACTTATTATGCAACAAAAGCTAACTGATCCAAACAGTGCATTGAAGAGTTATCTACCTATATATATAGTGAATTTCTTACTTTCCAAGGAAAAAGACATTATTTTAGTGTCTAGGTCTGAAAAAATGACAGTGGGATGATCAGCGCTGAAGACAAATGCCCGACAAAGCCAGGGCTCAGGGCCAGGTGCTAGAGTCAAGCTAGGCCTTCTGGGCTCTGGGGGAGGGCAGATATTATTGATAGCAAATTATTTAAAAATGGTTAACATTTTTGAAAGTTTATCATAGGCACTGTGCTAGCATTTTACATGCAGTGTACCTTTTAGTCCTCACAAGAGCACCAGGTAGGACATCCTAGCAATTTAATAAATGAAAGAATCGAAGCATATTGAGGATAAGTGATCTGCAGCAAAGGATGATGATGGTGAGGAGAGCTGAGAAGCATAAACACACTCCCCCTCTGTAATCACTTACTGCGTTAGTCACACTGTATGCAACAGTTCATTCAATCTGCAGAACCCCACCAGTTTCATAATGCTTATTATCCCCATTCGACAGATTGGAAAGGGGCACAAGGCAGGTCAAGTTCCTTGGCCACAAGTGCACACAGTTAACAAATGGTGGAGTTTATTTGAACCCAGGCAATCAAGCTAGCAATTACACTATCTTTACAGCCAGGCTCACACTGACTATCAGCGTGAAAGGGCAAATCACATTCTTTCCCTTTTTTTTGGGAAATTTTTAAGATTCTCCATATTTTAAGACAAATATGTATTCACGGCACCATGATTATCTTCAAGTATATAAAATGACCTTTAATTTATACTATAATCACTATCAGGTTGCAATGAGCTTGTTATTCTTGCAGGCACAATTTTTTTATTTGCTGGTTTTATGTTGACTTGTTTTTAGTTTTGGCTTTCCAATTATGTATTTTTAGGTCCAATTCTGTCAAGTTACAAATTCAAAGTAATAAAAAGTATGGAAGAAAACATATTAATCAGTGTAGGCTTTTAGAACTCTCTCTGGGAATGACATTAACTACTTACAAGTATAAAAACAGACAACTGTTGCCCAGGTGTTCACACACACCTGCTTTGGCACAAGAGCTCTGTGGCCTGAGCCTTCACACATTCTCTCCATCCAGTCCTCAGGCACAACAGCCATATCTCTCAATACTTTCACACGGGTGTGCAAAAACCATTGCCACTCACCTTAAAAGCAGCACCTCCATGAATGATGGATTTGATGAAAATACCGAAGTCTGTTCCAGTTTCTCGAGATTTGTTCCCTTTCAAGCTCACACCAAGACCAGCAGAGCCTGAATCATTCAGGGGAATCTCCAGGGTGAGTCGCTCAACTGTTTCCAGGGAAAGTGTATAGCAGTCAGGTTCTCCTTTCTGTTGGGGGAAAGTGCACATGAAAAGGGAAGAAAGCAGATGAATATTTACACAACTCAGATGGCCAAACACAGATGCAATTAGTAAGACAAGATGATTGAACCTCTAACAGCTGTAATTCTGTGCCTGGCAGGCAAAGGCCGGTCTTCTCTCTGCAAGGGGCCACCCCTACATGCACAGATGGGGGAAATGTTCCTAGAATATTCGGTGATAGCAGAGAGAACCCTTTGACATTGCAGAATCATGCTATTTGAAACACCCTATAAGCATTTGGAAATTTGGTGAAGGAAATTCTATGGGGACTACACAGGGGTGGGGGGGGGTTGGGAATAAACATTGTTTAAAAAAGAACAATGATGTAAAAATATATAAATAAAAAGAAAATTTAAAAAAGAAAGCTAATGAGGAAAACATAAAAAAATAGAATATTCTTAACAATTAGACACTGGACATTATACTTAGGGAATCTTGGGTATCAGAAAAGACCTTAGAGGGGCATTCCTGGTGGTGCAGGAGGTTGAGCACAGAGCTGTGAGGCTGTCCACATCCTCTGCAGTGCCAGTTCGATCCCCACCGGCCTTGGAGATACCCAAATGGCAAGCAGACCTCTCCTGTCTCGCCCGCTGCTCCCCTCAGCAGTGTATTTCATCAGTCTGTCTGTTCTGTTCCTCGCTCTGTCTCTGGTGAATCCTCTCACCCTCCTGACCATCTGGCCTGTGCCCCGGTTCTTATATAAATAAAAATAAATCTTAAAAAAAAAGAAAAGACCTTAGCAATACTGTGATCTTAACACCTTCATTTCACAGATGGAGAAACAGGGTTTAGTGTAGAAATATGCCAAAACTTTGAGGAACTCTCTGGCTTTTATAATTTAAAACATCATTTACCATGGAAGCAATGCTGATGATAAAGATTGTCAACAGGATACAAAACACTGAAAAAATGCTATTTTAAAGTCAAAGAAATGTGATTTATACTAGTTATCACTGAATTAAATTTCACTTTGTCAAAACTCATGCCTTAAAGTTTGCATCTTTGAGTAGTATAACTCACTGGCACTGTGTTTTTGAACCCGAACAAAAATGATAACGCATAACAAATAGTCACGTCCTCTTTGACAAATGACACTTCACCACAAGTATAGCTGTTTTCAAAAAATAGAGTTGGTGGCAAAAGGCACATTTAAGTATCAGGTCTCCAGGGCAAAGTATGTGCTTAATCATATTGGGTCCCCAGGGTTTTCTGATACACAGTAGTGGGAATAAAAAGCATTGCCCATGTGCTATTCTCTGTGGGTGCCCCTTCTGCATCTCTCCTGAGCCTGCACCAATGTGAAACTCTGCACATTATTGAAGTGAAAAATTTGAAAATGAGATAGCTCTGGAACCTCTCCTCTCATTCCAGGTCAGAAGTTCCTTTCTCTCTATAATTATGTCTAGAGCCTCTCATCTTAAGGTCACTTTGAGGGACTCTCATGTAAAATTAGGTATTTTAAAAATGAATGTGAATGTCTGAATGTCAGTCACAGAGTAACAACTATAAAATCAGACGTAGCAAAGAACCCTTAATTAAAACAGGATTAAGAGGTCTTATACAAGCCTGATCCACTAACATGGCATTTTCAACTTCTACCAAAATAGAGAAAACCTGTGTAACTTTAAAAAAATAGTTTCTTCATTTAATTTCACTGTTAAGAATTTGACAATAAGTAATTTCAAAGAAATGAAACTTTATTGTTTAATTTAATAACCTATGTTAGCTCTCTAACTCATTATATTATGCTCTAAGAAAAAAATTCCATTATTTGATTCAAACTAGCTGTCTTTTTTTTTTCCAGTGGAAAATGCCAGAGTTAAATACTAAATAAATTATTAGCCTTCATTTTTGTCTTCCAAAATGCCCAATTTAGAATCCATAACATTGTGCAATCATTTACATTGCCAGGTCTCTCTGGGATTTGGTTAATTTCAGTCTAATAAAGTTCCACCGAATTAAAGTGTAAATTAAATAACAGCTGTTCTTACTAGAAGTTTGTGAACACCATTTTAGAGAAAAACTAGAAAGCTTCTCTTTTATTTACCAGAGACAAAGTAACACAAGAAAAGTTTTGTTTGAGTAACACCTTCAAACCATTTTATTTGATAATAAAATTAGTTTATATTAGGCAATTTTGTTTAATAATTCTTAATACATTGACAACTACTATTTGTACTAACACCTTTCATTTACTACACAATTGGTGAGAACAAAGTAGGAATCAGGTGGTGGTGTACGTATCTTTCCATTTGAAACTTAATTTATCTTTTGTTTAAGTCCCTGGAGTCTGAGAGCCCAAAATACAAAGAACACTTGACTGACCATCACTAAGTGGTTCTAATCTCAGTACTCAGCACACAGCAACACACTTACTCCTTACCACAACCCTGTGAGGTTTATTAACATGCCCATTTCACAGACAAAGAAAACAAAGTGTGCGGGATAGGATCATGCTTATCGTCCACAAGATTTGTCAATATTGGAGCTCTGGGGAGCCCAGGAGGTGGTTTCCCTGTGTCAGACTCCAACCTGCTATACTGTCTCAACTTCTTTGGGCCACCATGACTTGATCAAGCCACAAGAAATTCCCAAAAAAGGTCCCCAGTGACAGTAAGAGGCCAGATACCTTCACAATCTCCGCTCAAGTATAGTTATGCTTTATATCTTTCTTAAGCTGTTCCAGGCTCAATTAGTGGTCTCTAATAATAGCAAACTTCCCAATGGTGAAGGAAGCCATTACAGTAGTTAACACAGTCATTTCCTTTGTTACCTAATGTATAACAAAAATCAATACGCTGAACGCTTCCCTCCAATAACCTTGGTTCAACACACAACACTGAAAAATTAAACTCAAATAGTGCCAGACATCATTTCATTTAGGACGGAAAGAGGTTTAACATCTTCACAAGTGCACCAAGTGCAGGTCCTCAGTGACAGGATGAACCAAAACACAATGGCACATCTTAACCTTGGACCCTCTCTGGCTTCCTGTCTGTCAGATGAGCTCTTTCCACACCGTGTTGGGACTATCCCTGCCTGGTTCCATCCACAGATATTAGGAGAGGCGATGCAATTCAAAGAGGTGAGGCTGGCATAGTAAGAGAGATCTTGTGAATTTCATTTATTTATTCTGCCTTTTCATTATTTCTTATTCTTTGTCATTAGAGGCCTTATCTCTAGATATAAAGGCATATAGTCAGGCTAAGGTGGACAGATTCTCCTATGCCCCTTCCGCTTACATCTAGGCCTAATTCTCTCACAAATTTCAGCCTGCCCCCATCCAGCCATCCTCAATTCAGGTTCTCTCACCTTCAGCACAACTCAGGGCCTTGTAATTTTTTGTTGGGAGGGAGCTGTCCCATCCACTATAGAGTATTTAGAACTCCTGTATACTTCCCAGTAGTAACTCATTCCCCAGATATGACAATCAGACACCTTCAGCCATTGCCAAAGAGCCCTCTTTCAAAATCACTTCCAGCTGAAAACCACTGTCCTGAATCAATGATTTCCAAAGGATGTCAACCTTAAAGACAACCAAAAAAGCAGAGAAGCATCTGGGATGCGCAACGCTGCTGGCCACACATCCCCGGCGCTAGTAAGGGGTGGCAGTAAGAGTCCTGCATTCCATAGGTCTCAGGCTCACAGGCTGATGACTGACCACTCAGTGGATCAGAAGGAACTACTGGGGAATTCTGCACACTTAGGTATGTCTCTGCTTATATGGCAGTTAATTTTCCTGAGGCAGAAATGTGATCTTTATGTGATGAACTGAGTAGAAATGTAATAAACTGAAAGTTTTGGTGCATATACAAAATGCTGCCTTTTACTCACATAGGAAGCCAGAAGAAAAATGCAGCCTATCAAATGTTTAAATATGCTTATTTGTATGCCATTTTTGTACTTATTTACTTATTTATTTGTTTATTTATTTATCTTAACTGGGGTATAGGCCAGAGTGTAGGGGGTGAGAGGATTCACTAAAAGACAGAGTGGGGTACAGAACAGGCAGACTGACTGAAATATACTGCTGAGGGGAGCAGTGGGCGAGACAGGAGAGGTCTGCCATGCCATGTGGGTTGCTCCTTGGTCGGCCAGGGATCAAACTCATGCTGCAGAGGCTGCAGATAGCTTCACAGTGTGGTATTTAACCCCTTGCATCACCAGTGAGGCCCTGTACTTTTTTGTTTATTAAGAATCATAGAATTATATAAAATAGTATTGACACAAAGACTTCTAATCATGTGAAAATATGCTATAACATTAAACACAAAATCTTATGTGAACAATATATTTTTAATATGTAACAGGAATATTCTATACACATACTCAGACACCTACCCAGCTACCTAGTAACTACCTGCATGCACCCTCATTCTATCTATTTGCATAGAGAAAAACTTAATTATCTACTGGTAGTGCGATATGAAGTATTGTTTTCTTTTTTGTAATTTTTCTGTGTTTTCCAAACATTTCTCCATCAATAGAAAGGTGTTTTTCAAAGGAATTTGTAAAGATATAAATAAGAACCATTTGCTCTATTATTGTACCAAGAGATGAGTGGATGGTAATGAACAAGAAGGTAAACACATCTCTATGACACACACATTTTCACACACACTCACATATTTACATATGCAGATATACATGTTTTTGTAATACTATGTATACTATATATTATTATATACCCACTAATTATATTAATACTATATGTATTCTTTAACACTATACATAATAAACATGTATTTATATTCTGAATATACGCAGCTATGTAGTGTATTTATAGCTACTCTTTGAGCCACCAATGACTTCCATGTTGCTAAATCCAATAACCAATTCCCAGCGTTCTTCTTACATTATCTACAGTAGCATTAACCAGTTTAAGTAACTCTAATACTGCTTCTCACCTTATACTCTTCAGGCTACTTCTCAATACATATCTGGCACCATATTTGATTCCTGCTATT